TATTAAATATTTCACTCGACAAATAACTAAACGCAGTTGGTATCAACTTTTGTTAGAAAATATGACACTCATGGCTTTTCATTCTAAACATCTTTCCTACTCCTAGATCAACACAACGACTCAAGTTTGAAGCATATTTGTTAGAGAATTTTCATGATTGAAGTCACTCGCAAATTATTCTACGTTGAGTCAAAATAAGACGATATTTTGCTTCAGATTCCATAAGTTTAACAACAATAAATTCTTGGATCTCTAATTTCAATCTCTTACAAATCTCTTCCAAATCTTGTCTGACATTCATGTTATCTTTAATTTATCTTTAACATCCATCACAGTATTAACGATATTATCAAAAAGGTTTTTCTCTATGTGCAAGACATTAAGATTTTGTCTAATCATATTACTCTTCAAGTAATTCATATTAAAAAAAATGGATATTTTTGTCCAATTTAGAGTAACATGCATCAAAATGGTGCAAATGGAATAAGTGGTAGATAGAAAGGATATATGTATGTAACTTTCTTCTGCCTGTTACTTTTTTAATTATGAGATTTGATCATAGAAGAATGACAAAATCTGCACTAAGTCTCTATTGCATTAAACTTATTAAATAACATACATTTGTTTATACAATAATTAGTCTCCTCTAATTTCAAACTTAACTTGGAAACCATTATTTTTCTTCTACAAGAATTAAATTTTTTTAGGATTTGTGTTTTTTAATAATCCTACAAACTAATTGAAGCTCTTTTTGGGGCATGTTAAACCATTTTAATTTTCAGTATTCTGAGAGCTACAAATATCTAAAAATAGGATGTACAATCTTCCAAGATTGGCCTCTATGATACATTTGGTAATTCATAAAATACTTAAGATTCTTGGTTTGATGGCCCTTCCTCTACATAACTCAGATGATAATGTCATGTTCCTCAAAGGGCATTGTTATAAATCTATTTGAGTCAAACTTAGGTTAAGGATCAAAGAACATCAAAGGAGCGGAGTTAAATATTCAAGGGCCAACCCACCAAGTGAAGTCTAAATCCAATAATCAGGTTGAAATCCCGGAAGATATAAAACATACCTGACTTCGTCAGGTGTTATGGTGCTCGATTCATTTGTTTTGAATATGGACAATGAAACCTACTCTCAAATTGTTAAGTCAGAAATAGAGAGGCTGCTTGAACGAAAGTCTCAACATTGTTCATGAAGTCTCCAGTGATTTTTTCTATCTCGATAAAGTCTATCGTACATTCATATTATTTATGTATGAATATTCATAGATAATTTATATCTTTGAGTAATTACTGCTAGTTAAAGAGTACAATATAAAAGGAGAAAGTATGGATGAGGAGATTAGTATGATAAAAAGGGAAGATATTACATTTCATGATATGAATAATTTTTCAAATGTCAATTAACAAAGAGGTAAAACAATTAAATGTAAGTGCCACACTCCTGAAAGAAAGATGTCGACCGTTGAACATACATCATTGCGCCTATAGAAAAATATAGAGCATGAAAATTCTAACACAAAATATCAAGGCTCTCTTATTTCACTCTCTTCATCAATACTCTAAACAATATTTTCATCACAATTATTAAGTCTCATTAAAGTTTACGTAAAAAAACATCACTATTATCCCTTCTTAAAGTTGATATACACATTTTTATACATAGATTTAAAACATCGAAGTGCCATGTACATAAAAACAAAAATTTAGTTGTGAGATACAAAAATACATGCAAATTATGAGCTAGGTATGTGAATTTACCTTTAAAAATGGCCGTTGACGTTCCTAACATGCAAGTCTTGCGTATCTATATATCTCAAACTGAAACTTTCATATTGACACATACAACAATTAAAATATTAACATCATCTAAAAAAATCACAGTTACCAAATTTTAAATGTGAAATACACTTTTTCATACCTAGGTTTAAAGCACCAAAGTATTACGTATATATATATGGGAATTTACATTCATATCACATAGAATTGTGTATTTAAAAATCTCAAACCTAAATTTTGCTATTGTCACACATAACACTATAAATTTTAATGTCACTATTGAGTGAGATACAGATTTTCACAAATATCTTTAAAGCATTGAAGTGTTTAGGTGTGAGATACATAAAACAATAAGAATATCAAGGCTCTCGCATTTACATATTTCAAACCCAAACTTTCATATTTACACGCTTAGAACTACAAACTTTAATATCGAGGCAAGAACGTTGATTTCAAAATTCTCAATTTTTAAAAGTAAAATACACATTGTCATTCATGGATTTAAAGAATCCAATTGTATGTATGTAAGTATCAAAGTTTTGGTGTGAGATAGATAAAATATAAGATTTGTGTGCTAGGTATACAAAGTTCACATTAAAATTTATGTGTTAGATAAGGGAAGACCTAAGAGATAGCCCCAAACATGCAATAATCAAATACATCATCAAAGTTATACAAAACGGAATCAAAATTTCAAATTTCCTAAAATAGAAAATCTCAAAAGTATTTAAACCATCCAAAAAAAAAAATAAAATCAGTGCTGTCTATCATTATTATTTCTATGTTCCAGTAGGAATAAACAGAATGAGTATAGCTTAAATATCAAGGTTGGAAAAAATGTTTTTTTTTCTCCTAAGAAAACCCAATGGCAGATTGAATCAGAAAAGGAAGCCAAGTTTTGATAAAGATGATAACATCAAATTGGATAAGGAATAATAACAAACTCAACTATACAAACTTCTCTGCTAAAAAAATCACAGTTCTTTTTCCATAACACCTTGGTTGATAAAACCTTGCTCAAGTGAACACGACTACAGAAGAAACACGCATGGACAAAATACCTGCCCAGAAGGGTGGGACTCCACAGAGAAGGATATATAGGATGATCCCAGCACTCCATACATCAACCTCTGGGCCATAATTGCGCTTCAAAACTTCTGGTGCCATGTAATATGGACTTCCAACTATCTCGCTGAATTGCTCGCCTTTTAATAACAAGTACAAAATAATTATACAATTATAAGAAAATGTAGATATGAAGAAATTGGAATCGCTGGAGTCCTACCAGGCTCGAAGAACACTGAGAGGCCAAAATCGATTGCTTTAAGTGGAGAGTCTTCTGATTTATTTAGAAACAAAAAGTTCTCAGGTTTTAGGTCTCGGTGTATTACTCCATGCTTATGGCATACCTGCAGTAAATTAAAATTTGAATTATGAAGATTCTATGAGGCAATGCTAGAAATCTGGTTGTTGAGATGCTAAGTCAGACATATTCTGCTATAAAGTAAATGCCAATGGTTTGGTTCATTCGTATCTATCATATCTAATATATAGTTTGTTATTTTGACCCCCAATTTTTAACTAAGGTTAAAGGACACTTTTGTAATGTGGTATCGCTCGCTACCACATCTCACCTACCGTTCACCCACTGTTCGCCAACCGCTCACCTACCTTCCACCTACCACTCTCTTGCTTCTATAAATAGAGAGGGTGTGTGGCTTAGGAGAGCAAAGGAAGAGATCTTAAGCTATCACAAAGGAGGAGAGAATAGCTAGAGAGCTAGAGAGGAAGAGAGCATCTTGAGGCCTTGTATCAATGTGTCGCTTGAGAGGAAGACCATAGAAGGAAGATGAAGAAGAACGTTGATTTCAAAATTCTCAATTTTTAAAAGTAAAATACACATTGTCATTCATGGATTTAAGGAATCCAATTGTATGTATGTAAATATCAAAGTTTTGGTGTGAGATAGATAAAATATAAGATTTGTGTGCTAGGTATACAAAGTTCACATTAAAATTTATGTGTTAGATAAGGGAAGACCTAAGAGATAGCCCCAAACATGCAATAATCAAATACATCATCAAAGTTATACAAAACGGAATCAAAATTTCAAATTTCCTAAAATAGAAAATCTCAAAATGCAAAAAAAAAATCTAATTGTTCGAGGCAAATAAAAACTTAGAGAAAGATTGAAATTGAGATTATTTGACGATTTAACTATTAGAACTTGAGAAACCGTTTACTCTAGCGAAAATTTGACTCCGAGGTGTTTCGTCGGCTCTGGAGGTCAAGCACACATGCTAGAATAGAATGATCAATTTCAAACATCTGATTGATATAAAGAAGGGTTTTCGACGACTTTCTAATAGTCACTTGACCTTCAGTTGCTAATTTCTTAATAACCGAGGGGATCCGCCGTCATTTACAATAATATGGCCGTCAGTTATTAATGACCAATGAAACTACAGAATGACTTTCCGATGAGTTAGGGGCACTGGTTTATAATTAGCTATGAACCAACGGTTTGGACCGTCGCTGACTATCTCAATCCCATTGGAAACACTTTTAATTTATAAGTTACTATTTAATATATTAGAACTTTATTGGAAACTCGATTCATCTCTAATCGTTCGAAATAAACACAAATTTTTCTACACATTAGACTGTCCGTATTTTCTCTGATTTTAACTTTTTTTTCTAGTGTTATAGGAATGTTTTTTGCTAGAAGGCTTTTTAAATTGATATATTCTCTTCCATGATAATCTTATGAATGTAGGTTCTCACAACGTCCCCATTTTAATATATTTTGAATGTGATATAAATCATTATATTGATGTACAATTAAGATTCCAATGCATTAATCTCCAAACCATCCATTTCTCATGAGTACCACTATGTGTACTCGTGAATTAACTAATCTTATTTGCTAAAAAATAATCATATAGTTATGTAATAATGTCATAAAATGAGCAAACTCCATCAAATATGCAATCTCAATCGCCAAGAATTACAAGAGACTCCCTCATAGGTGTGAGCAGCATCAATATTTCACTAAATCCATACCAACTAATACATACATGACAAAGAATATGATCTCTTTTCGTAAGCTACTTCAACACCCAACAAATGAAACTCACACATTATTCATGAAACCTTAACCCATCATAAATATTGTAAGTTTGTAACTTGTAACTAACCTTTTGCCATTAGTAACCTCAAGCCATGGACATAAGCTTCATATTGCTCTTAGCTCTTACCTTGATCATGTCTATCATCCTCTTTAACTTTTCTAGGCTTGTAAGAAAGAAAAAGGATTTTGATCGACACAAACTTCCACCTGGACCAACAAGATGGCCGATTGTAGGCAACCTCTTGCAATTGAGCCGGTTGCCACACAGAGATTTTGCACGATTATGTTTGACATATGGCCCATTAGTGTATCTTCGACTCGGCTTTGTACATGCTATAACAACCGATGACCCGGAGGTCATTCGTGAGATTCTCGTTGGACAAGATGATGCATTTGCTTCACGGCCATCAACAGTGGCGGCGACTAGGTTGGCTTACAACAGTGGTGATGTGGCCCTTGCACCGATGGGCGCACATTGGAAGCGCATGCGTAGGATTTGTATGGAACATTTGCTGACTACAAGAAGGTTAGAATCGTTCGCAGGACATCGAGCAGAGGAGGCTCGACATCTGTTGATGGATGTGTGGCACAAAAGTAGGAATGGTGAAACGATTGACTTGAGGCAGGTATTGTTTTGAGGAAACTAAGAAATTTGAGCATGGTTTAAAAGGTTAGAAGAAAAATGAAGAAACTTAATTTCATTAGTTGAAGACGAAAAATTATTGTATCAGGACACTTGATGCATCAGGTGTCCAATAAGTGGCAACCCGGGTCCGAACCTTGTATATCAGTGGACCCAAATTATCACGTGGTCCTTAATTATTGGGCACCTGATGCAAATTTGTATTAGGAGTCCTGATTGAATAATTTTTTGTTGAAGACAAAAGCTGCTTTTGAATTTTTACTATTTAAGATGAGTAATATCGCTTTTTAAAAATTTTTGCAGTTCATAAAATCAATGCATTGGCTTGAAAAGAAACTTTAAAGCACTCTATCTATAATGCATACCACTAAATTAATTATTAGATCTTGTCCCGGCTTCAATCTCCATTATTCTTCAGTAAAGCATCATGCTGAGAGAAAATATTATGTGCGGCTAGTCTTATGTCCCCACGATGACTCATATACGATCACACTATCTTGTATCGCATGACAATCCATCCAAAGCTGTGTCTGAATGTGCGATTGCTGCATGTAATATTTGCACTGAACAGATCCCATCACAACTTACTCTGTGTGGAGATCTATGACAACTCTCTTTGGCCTTCAGGGTTTCATTAAATCATTTATTAGAGTACATTACCTTATAAATAGTAAAATTTAGATGTAAAATTTATAAATTCTAACATTATAAGTACTATGCTCACAAATCTCCTATGAAGGTGTTGGGAGGCTTCTCCATGAACAACGTGACAAGAATGATATTAGGGAAGAAATATTTTGGTCCAGCGACTGCAGGCCAGGGAGAGGCAATGGAGTTCATGGCCATCACCCACGAGCTTTTCCACCTCTTAGGGATCATATATCTGGGAGACTATTTGCCGGCATGGCGCTGGGTGGACCTCACAGGCTGCGAGAGGAAGATGAGAGAGGTGGAGAAGAAGGTGGACCGGTTTCATCAAAAAATCATAGAGGAACACAGAGAGGCAGGAAGGAGGAGGAAGGAGAATGGAAGAGGAATTGATGGTGAAGAGGAAGATGATGGCATGGACTTTGTGGACGTCTTGCTATCTTTGCCTGGAGAGAATGGAAAGGAGCATTTGTGTGACAGAGAGATCAAAGCCCTAATGCAGGTATGAATGCATGGAAAATGTTATATTATTAGTTGAATTTTATGTTTATTGAAGTTGATGTTGAATTTTATCATATCCTGATTATACAAAATTAAATAATAATACATAATTAATTATTATCATAGCTGCCATCTTTTTCTTTTAAATTCTTAGGATCAATTAATAATATTTTAATTTATTTACATTTCAAACTTTATCTTGGATTAGGGCTGTCAAGACTGACTCATTGTTTGCGAATAGTTCGTGTTCGCCTCGTTAAGAAGACTGTGTTGGATTAATTCGTTAAGTTAACGCGAGCAACACGAACAAATATTTGTTCGTTCGTGTTAACAAATATTTATTTGTTCGTGTTCGGCTCAAAATACTACTAATCAATTATATATATATCTTTGATGTGTAATATTTTTAAAAAAATTAATTGACTACAATGCTACAAAGATTTATAATCAATTATAAGTATTAATTAATAAAATAGAATAAAAATTATTAAATTAGATTCAAATGATTTTTTAAATCTTGCCTCAATACTTAACATTTTATGACTACATGATTGGAGTCATCAAAACGACTCTTTGTTCTACTGCTCGTGTTCGGATTGCTATGCAAACAAGCCGAACACAAACACACTTTTTGAGCTTGAAATATAAACGAGCCGAACATAAGCTGAGCCTTTGCTCGCTCGTGTTCGGCTCGTTTACACTCCTATCTTGAATCAATCTTTTAGGGAAAAAAGAGTCATTTCAAAAGAAACAAATTTTTTATAAAGAAACAAATTCAAGAAAAGTTTAACCCTATCTTGAATCAATCATTTATTTTTTAATAAAAAAATATAAAAAATAAAAAATAAATCACTAAACAAAAATATTTTTAAAATAAAATAAAAATTAAAATTAAAGTGATCATAAACAAACCATTAATATTCTTTTAATATTTTTCTAGCACAAAATAAATCGGTAACATGCTTAATTTTTATGCATTAGATTTTATAACTCTAAGATAAATATCACATAGGTTATGCATACTCTGTTCTAATATGTATTAAACTAAGGAAAAATGTTCATATTTATAAGTAGAGGACATTAAATTTTTTTTTTTTTTTGTTACATTTAAATAGCGAAAATCTTCAACGCTAGCCACTCTGGTTGGCCTCGAGTCTCAACCAACGATGAAAAATAGTAGGTACAGATGCGAATTTGATAATATTATAGCCCTGTAATATAATATCATCAAAATATTATTAAAGTACCACCATTATAATTTTCACATGCATTTCGAGAAATAATTGCATCAGCACACCTGATACAAATTTACATCAAATGTCCAATAACAGGAGTTCATGTGGCGATTTGGGTCCAATGACATACACGATTTGAGTCTGGGTTGTCACATGACACCGTATTATTGAATATCTGATACAAATTCATGATGCAATAATTTTTTTCAAATTTCAGCCAATTTTTCCTACATTTACAAGGGTGCGTCTCACTGTTTTCCCAGGACATGGTAGCGGCGCCCACCGACACCTCCGCCGTAACCAGTGAATGGGCCCTAACCGAACTCATCCGCCACCCACACATCCTCCATAAAGCGCAATTTGAACTGGACTCCATCGTTGGCCGCCACAGATCCCTCCTCGAATCCGACCTCCCCCACCTCCCCTACCTCCGCTGCATTGTCCGCGAAACCTTCCGCCTCCATCCAGCCGGTCCATTCCTCATCCCACACGAATCTCTCCGTCCCTCCCATCTCATGAACGGCCGCTACACCCTCCCCTCTCACACACGTGTCTTCATCAACACACACGCCCTTGGCCGCAACCCGCACGTATGGGGACATGATGTGGATGAATTCCGGCCGGAGAGGCACGAGAAGGTCAGGAAAGGGAAGGTGGAGATCAGTCATGGGGATGATTTTGTAATATTGCCGTTTGGAGCGGGAAGGAGAAGGTGCCCGGGAGCCCCGCTGGGGGTGGTGTTGGTGTTAATGGGGTTGGGGACTTTGTTGCATGGGTTTGAGTGGAAGCCGGGGGATGGGAAGAGGCCGGAGGAGGTGGGAGTGGAGGAAGTTTTTGGGCTGACGATGCCGAGGGAGGAACCGCTCAGGGCGGTGGCGACGCCAAGGTTGAAGGAGGGCATGTATATCTAAGGGGGGTGATGACCGCCTTTATATATGTTTTGTGTTATTTATTGATCATATGTTTGGATGTCTTTTCTATTTATGAAATAAAGAATTATGTTTAACTTTAAGTTATGAGCAGAAAAATTTTTTTGTATACGTTGCTCTCTCCCGCTCTCTCTCTCTCTCTCTCTCTCTCTCTCTCTCTTCATTTATATCGCCTAAAGATTGGTTAAACTCTACAAAGACTAGTGTGTGTGTGTACTAGGACTGGTTAAACACTACAAAGACTTAGAATAGGTCATCAGTTTGCGTGTACTTTTAAGAATTTATAGCTAAGTTTTTGGTCATAACATCACTAGAGTAAAGATCTTATTGAAAATCTCCTCTTTAAAGTCAATCGGTTGTTTGGCAGATGATTGAAGTCCTTTTGCTCTAAAGGCGATCTCACCTCCAATTTCCGCATTCATTCACTCATCTTTTACCATTTCGACTTTGTTGTTCACATGTAGACATTCATACTTGATCGATCTTCGTCTGGCTATTTAGTGACCGAGTTTGACCTTCTTCGTTATCTTTATTTTGATTTATTTCCTTGGCTTTCCTAGACTGAGTGAAGGCCCATTAAAGTGAGTTTTTGGTTCCTTCTAGTTTTTGTAGCAACTTTTGGTTATATATATTTAGTTTCACAATTCTCTATCTCTTAGATGGTTATGTTGCGATAAGTATAAGAGAATTAAATTTATTTAATTATTGTATGATTTAAGTGGAACCTTATGATGTTGATACTCCCTTGAGTTCTGAGTGCTGACTTTTATAAATAGGGCAATGAGACATCAATTCAACACATTTGCATTTCAATCCCTCTTCTCTGCTTTTTAGATTTGGTCGCTCTTTGCTTGACATAGTATGGTGGAACTCAACTGATCAAACTAATATTCTGGATGAGGAGTTGCTACACGACATATAATTAATTAAGAAAAAAGTGAAAGGGCAGTGAGAGAGGGTGCCAGGCAGTGGCACTGAAATAAATAATGGGAGGTTCATCCTCAGGAGAAGGGAAGATGTCAAAGAGGTCTTATGTAAAAGCTGTTGTCGTGGTCATGACATTGGATGGCGATTCATGAACTATTAATTAGGCTAAGCTGTTACCTTCCCATGCAAATGTTCAAGCACCTGTGGAGGCATGTAAAAGCTGTTGTCGTGGTCATGACATTGGATGGTGATTCATGAACTATTAATTAGGCTAAGCTTTTACCTTCCCATGCAAATGATCAAGCACCTGTGGAGGCGTTTAACCTTAGGGGAGAGGTCAAACAAGAAAAGACACCTGCACTTTCAGAAATTTTGGGTTAGTGTGAACCAATTGGTATGTAAAGAGCCTTTTTTTTTCTTTATGTAAGTTTTGATAAGATATATTTTCTTCTTTTGGGAAGAACCAAATAAGTCATTTAAGGAGTCGACCAAACAATTCTTGAAGGGGATCTTTCTACTGCTGTGGATGGAGGTGTCGTGAAGGGAGAAAATGAAGCTGAGGAGGTTCATGAGATAATGATGCACCCCCCTCTTAAGGAGGTCGTGATCTCACCACCATATACTTTTGTTTTTGCTTCTACTGTAGACATAATTGAGTAGGAAAGCGGTTGTGTGACCTAGGGCGAGAGGTCTGTGACATGAAGAGGTTGGTCTTTGAACTACAACAAGAGTTAAGGATGTGAAAGATAAATTCTTGTTATTCCAAAACCTTGCCGTCCAGCCACCTAAGCCTGTTCAAGGCTGGAGGAGCGATTTTCTCTGTAGAGGCTCAATCAGCTAGGTCATCTTTGTGCCAAGATTGTTTTAGACCCTTGTGTAGGTTTTTTATTTTTGCCTTCATTCAACACTTTTGCTTGTATGTTGTTGTCATCGAATTTTAATATCACATATATGTGACTATCATTTGAACCTATGAAACAAGATTCCATTCATGCGTAGTATATTATAGCCTAAGACATCCATCAAAACTCTTTGATGCATTATTAGGTGACACACCAAAACTTATCGGGGCGTAAGTCGGGCGTACAACACCAGTGCACATGTCAAGTAGTAATGTGGTTCAATAGTATCACATATCGATCTTACAGGGAAAGTGTAATATTTGCTTCCATAACAAAACTCTACTTTAATAATTTAGTTAACCTAGCTTGATGATTATCAAAAGAAGGTTTTTAAGTCTTAAGGTCCTAGTAGAACAAAATACTTAGCGTCAGAGGAAAGCATAAAATAGGAGGGAAAAATTTGCGAGTTCCTTCAAGAAAGATGAGGTTTGTGCCTTTGTAACTTGGGGATCATGATGATCGTAGTTTTTCTAAATGTTTTACCTACGTGATTGTTGTTAATCGGGGAGAAGTTACTCCTTATGCCTAGGTTAATAGAAGCCTAATATCCATCCTCAATCCACAGAACATTCCACATCAATTTTCTGATCCCTTGGGATGATTGCAGAATTCCTATAGATATGTCTACTCTCTCAGAATTATGTGGTTAACCCTTCATTTTCACTGTGTAACGGTTAGAGGTCATGGTTTCATGAAATATTTTAACTTCCTAGTTGGTCATACTAGAAGTAAATGATGATCAAGTTTAACCAACAACATAGGCCATGAATATCTTGAGAAAATAACAAAAATAATATTACAAAAATCCAATGATAAATCCACTACTCCATATATCACAGAGACACAAAGAAAAACTTTGTCGATCATTATAGAGAAAACCATAGTGAAAAACACCACATGAAATTCCATTTCAAGCAATATAAAGATGAAAAACTTACGAGAATTTTTTTCCTCAGCAAGATCAACAACTTTTCCTCTCATACATAATCTCTCACAACTCACAGAGTAAATAAAAAACTCTCCCTTTAAGGTTTCAACCCAAGGAGGAAAAAAGCCATCAAGAAATCCCTCAAATCCTCCCTTAAACTATTTTCTTTCAGCTTTCAAGCCTTCTCTGAAGCAGAACACCCTCTTAGAAACCCTAAGATATGATTTTATAGCAAGAATTCATCAAATTTCCTTTCTAAAGTGTTCCTCGCTTGTCAGTGTGGTAACGACCATTTCCGACATGATCATACCATTCTTCTGCCAGGCATGGCCACGCTTGATTGTGGCATGGTCATGCCGCCCATCTGCAACTTATAGTGTGATCACACCAGTTTAGGGTGTGGTCACACCATTTTCGGCCATGGTCACACCATTTTCGGCCGTGGTCACACCATTTTCGGCCGTGGTCACACCATTCTTGGGCTTGGTCACACCATTTTTGGGCTTGGTCACGCCAACCTTACTTTATCAATGCCGCCGTCACACCAGCCTTGTTTGATCAATGACGTGTTCACGATGCCTTTATGCATTGTCACGAAGCCTTTACTCGTAGGACACTTTATTACGAAATTTTCTCTTTTCATCTTGTTCATATTCAATTTCTGCCTCCTACACAACATGAACAAAATACCTTTCTCAAACATAAATATGTGTTAAATAGATGAAATTAATATATAAAATACAAAAGAAATAGCAAGTAAAATGACGTAAAATTGACGCTTGTCAATACCTTCAAACTTACCGTATTAACTGCCCTCAAGTAATCACATATCTTAATTTGGATTTTTAGTCGAATTAGTACTCCTCCAGAGTTTCTAACCTTTCAAACTATCTTATCAAATCTGAATAAGAGTATGCAATGTTATTTAGGCTTGATTATCTTAATGATTAAAGATTTGACATTTACTAAATTCTCTTCTTTTTCTACTTATGAGAACCCCCACAAATATTTTAATTAGTGTGGTTTATAATCTCTTTCATGAACCTTAGATATATTTAGTACAGTTGCAATAGATTCTAGCCAACTTAAAGCTTACTTAATTCTTATCCTTCAGAATAACTTGTAATGTGGTTGTAATGAAGAATCCAAGGCTCAATTCACCACTTAGGTCTCATTAACACCACTTTCAAATACGGGCAAACTCCACACCAAAAATAGTGCCGACACTCACCTCAAGTTTCTCCTTAGGGGGTTTTCAATTTTTTTTTGCTTTTTCTTCTTTTTTTAAATTTTAATTTTATCAAGTTTCTCCTTAGGGGGTTTTCAATTTTTTTTTTGCTTTTTCTTTTTTTTTTTTAAATTTTAATTTTTATTTTTATTTATTTTTCCTCTAAGGATTGCTATATCTGGTGGGCAAATTTTCTTTTATAGCCTTTCTTTTAGATGTGAATATGAGTTATGTTTCTTAAGTAACAAAACTGGACAATTGATTCTTTGAATGTTCCACCCCTAAGTTTTCATTTTTAGTTAAGGTTTTAGATTATATTAAGGTTTCTCAAATGAACTGAAAAAGAATAAAGATATCTTTAGTTGGTTACTCAATATCTAAATTTCCCTTTCTGAATAATTTAAGAGTTTCTTCTAATTGAAGCCTAAAGTTAAGTTCTAGCATCTCATTCGTACATATTAAAGTTAATCTTTTTCTTAAAAAGATTTTATTTTATTCTACTAGACTGTCATAAGTAGTTTAAATAAATTAAAAACTTATAGTAGGAGTTATAAATCTTTCGTTGAGCTTTATAAACTACTTAACAAGTTCATGATAAGGAAAAGTACTACCTTCCCCAAACTTGATTTTCTCAATGTATGCTTTACAGAAAAAAAATAATAAAAGTATAAAGTAAGTGCAAAAAAAGGAAAAGAAGTGTCATGTACCACAAATCTCAGAAAGTAAAGGGTAAGCTTAGTAAATAATTCGTCCAGAAAAGGTAGTAAACAAAGCATTGCAACAGTGCAAATCTTATTATATATATATAAAGGTAAAAATAAGTACAAAAATGTGCATAGGCACCCACCAGAGACAACAACACAAAGAAAGGAAATTTGCACATACTATTGTTGTCAGACAACCATGCAATAGTTGCCTAGACCATGGCTACGACTGCTCAGAATTGTCTCCTCTGACAGGAAAGAGGAGAGAACACCACAGTGTAAACCCCTCACCGAGTGCATGAATGTGACATCACCAGTGCCATTAAATTTCCTACCTCCATCATGATGAGAAATGTGACAACCAACTTTGGAGTTGTGTCAGATCGCGCATAACAT